GGGTTTAGGGTTTAGGGTTTAGGGTTTAGGGTTTAGGGTTTAGGGTTTAGGGTTTGGGGTATGGTATGGAGAAAAGGTAGGGTTGGGGCATAGCACCTGCACTGCCTCAGCAGGCGGCTGCACAGGACTTGTGGCTTGCTCGTTGTAGGGCTCCAAACTTCTCCTCTGGGCTTTAGGGTTTAGGGTTTAGGGTTTAGGGTTTAGGGTTTATTCAGGACCTGCTTGAGCTGGAACCCTTACCGCGGCGGCCAAATTGTCTCCTGTGGCTCTGACGGGACTTGGACTGTCCACGACGCCTTTGCTGCCTTGCAGTTAAAACGTAAACCCTAAACCCTAAACCCTAAACCCTAAGCTTTTGTGGGGGATGCACTAAACTCAAAGTCTGCGCGCAAGCTCTGGCCGGCGCAGGTCTGCAATTTGTGCTTTACGGCCAACTAGTGTTCAGGGTATAAGCTCAATTAGGGTTTACAGTATAAACTTAATTAGGGTTTAGGGTCTAGGGTTTAGGGTTTGGGGATGTTTGCTGCAGCAACAGAAGGCGCCAAAAGTGTTTTAGCTTGCGAAATGCCAACGAGGCTAAATTCCTGCTGCTGGGCAGCAGCAGACATTCTTATTGCTGCAGCAGAAGACAGTGTGGCGTCTCTGTGAGGGTTTAGGGTTTAGCGTTTCGGGTTAGGGGCATAGGGTTTAGGGTTTAGGGTTTAGGGTTTAAGATTTCGGGCTCAGTGCTTGGGGATCTCTGTAAGCGAGCCGATAAGTAAACACTGGGCATATTAGCTTTTAAGCTCAGGGTTTAGGGTTTAGGGTTTAGGGTTTAGGGTTTAGGGTTTATGTTGCATGTGCAGTTGGGATATCCGCCAAGCCCCGACAGAGCCGATTGGCAAGGTGAGAGTTGGAGGACTAGGCCGCTGCAGACTCCAAACCCTAAACCCTGAATCTTAAACCCTAAACCCTAAACCCTAAACCCTTGTGCGCCTCAGGTGACCTGCAAAGGCAGTCCCATCAACTGCATCGCCACGACTCCGTTGAAGCCCGAGCTGTTCGTTTGCGGCGGCGACGACGGGGTGAGCCTAGGGTTTAGGGTTTAGGGTTTAGGGTTTAGGGTTGAAGGAGCTAGGTGCGCTGCTGCAGCGCTGAGGATTTCGGGTCCAGGGTTTAGGGTTTAGGGTTTCTCTTGGAGACGCTGCGCGCACTGCTCCCACCGCAGCATTTTAGGGTTTAGGGTTTAGGGTTTAGGGTTTAGGGTTTGGGGTTTGTTTTTGCAGCTGCTGCAACTGTACGACCGTCGGCGGCTGTGCGCAGCTGTCCATACACTCGAAGGGCCAAGCGCAGCTGTCCATACACTCGAAGGGCCAACTGCATGCAAAGTTTCTGCAGTTTCTTTTTCTCTTCAAAAGCCCTCATTTCTTTTAAGTGCAGATTCCAACAAATACACCTTTTTGTGGGATTTGGAAAAAGCAGGAGAGGAACAAGACCCCGAAGACGCAGAAGACGGGCCCCCCGAGCTCCTCGTAGGGTTTAGGGTTTAGGGTTTGGGGTTCAGGGTTTGGGGTTTGGGGTTTGGGGTTTGGGGTTTGGGGTTTGGGGTTTGGGGCCAGACGCGAAACAGGACATGCGGCCTAGGGTTTAGGGTTTAGGGTTTAGGGTTTAGGGTTTGGGAATCGACGCGAAACAGGGCTTACAGTCTAGGGTTAGGGTTTAGGGTTTAGGGTTTGGGGTTGCCGGGAGGCGCCGCTTGCAGAGTCCGTGCAGGCAGCCACTTGTTTAGGGTTTAGGGCTTAGGGTTTTACTCGTTATTACCCTTATTATTATTATTTCATTTTAATTAATTAATTGAATCATTTATTTATTTATTTATTTATTTATTTATTTATTTATTTATTTATTTCTTTCTTTCTTTCTTTCTGCAGTTTACTCATGGGGGCCACCGCGCCGACGTCTACGACGCCTCATGGAACTGCGAAGAGCAGTTTCCCCACGTACCTAAACCCTAAACCCTAAACCCTAAACCCTAAACCCTCGTGCCTTATGCCTCAAGTGCACTCTGTGAACGTCAGGCTTTGGGGGTTTAACGTTTAGGGTTTAGGATTTAAGGATTTGGGGTTAGGGCTTGGGGCTCAGAGTTTAGGGTTTTGGGCTTAGGATTTAGGGTTTAGGGTTTAGGGTTTTGCGTTCGCTGCTGTTCTCAGTTAGTGGCGTCCGTGGCAAATGATAATCAGCTGCACATTTGGCAGCCGGTGAGGCAAACCCTAAACCCTAGATGTAAACCCTAAACCCTAGACGCAGACCCTAGACCTTCAGTCATAGCCCTGCTGTTTAAAAACCCCACGCTTTGATGCTTAGATATTAATCCTAAACCGTAGCTCCAAACCTAAACCCTAAATTTAAACTTCAAGTCCCAAACCCTAAACCCTTGGCCTCAACTCTGAACTCTAGCCCTAGGCTTAAACCGTAGCTCTAAACCCTAAACCCTAGCTCGAAACCCTAAACCCTAGCTCGAAACCCCAAACCCTAGCTCTAAACCCTAAACCCTTGCCCGTTGTTCCGTGTGTTTGTGGCGTCAGAAAAGTTCTGTCTTTTTTGAAGAAGAAAGCGAAAGAGAGGAGGACGCGGACGAGTTAGAATGACCTGGGGTTTAGGGTTTAGGGTTTAGGGTTTAGGGTTTGGGATAGCCAGGAGGGCCCCGCAGTTTCCGGCGGTTCATTCACTCACTCTGCAGAGCTGCAGACTTGAAAAACCTGGCGTTTAGGGTTGAGGGTTGAGGGTTTAGGGTTTCTGCATCTGTTTCCCCCGCTCA